ACAGAGGGAATGGATGGGTGAATGGTGCAAACCGAACAAGCAACTTCAACACGAAGGGAAGAGGCTGGTTAGGGTAGGATTTACCACAGCATAGAGAGTGATTAGCTCGATCCTTAGGTCTGAAATTCTCGGTTTAAAACAACAAAGAACCAAAGCTCGCAAGCTAAGGAAAACTCCTCGGAGTACTTTTCGATTAAACTCAATAATGTCTTTTTACAACTCAACGTGTGGCTATTTATAACCAAAGAAACCTAATTACAATCCTAAACCAACAAGGCAACAACTCTGGATCAAACAAGGAAAAGAAAACGTTAATAACAATAAAACTTGCATCCCAAGTAACTAACTTCTCTCTCAAGCTAACTGTCCCGAAATAGCCCTTGATGTCAACTTCGTGGCTCTGGAAATCGACCTTCTGGGTTGAGTCGAGCTCAGCCAATCCCTTCCCTTGGTTTATAAAGTTTTACTCTTTCAATAACAACTCCAAGCTCCAGCTGGTCATGCTCCAAACGTCGTGAATTCAAGCTCAAAGTTGGTACCTCAAACTGTCTCCCTGCCTTAGCCAAAAACTGGCAATTTCCAGAATGCAAGATAGGTTTTTGATGGCCTTGAAAAACAACCCTCCTGACCTTCTTTCCACGATCCAAATGCATCAAACTACAGACAAACATCCAATGTTCAAAATAAGACCCTAACCTTGCATTTCCATTGAATGGTTTGAGAGAAACATCCCTCCAAAGTACCCTTCCCAAAACTGTCTCAACACTTAGGAAATTTCCAGCCTTGTTCGTATTAACTTGACCCGATCTTTGAACGATTTGTTTGAGTTGATACGAGGGTGGAATTGAGATCATATCACTATGCTCTTAGTATGACAACTCATCTGGAACCAAAGACATTTGCAGATGCTCAACAAGATGAATACTGGAATATAGCCACACAAGAAGAGTTGGGAGCTCTCATTGCCAACAACACATGGGAAGTATGTCAACTACCACCCAACAAGAAGAAGATAGGTTGCAAATGGGTGTGGAAATTATACTGAGACCAGATGGAAGGATAGAGGGGCATAAAGCCAGAGTGGTTGCCAAAGGCTACACACAAGGGTGTGGTGTGACTTCCTTGAAACTTTCTTTCAAAGAACAATACAGTGAAAACACTATTGGCAATGGCAGCTATCAAAGACTGGAACCTAGGGTAGATGGATGTTTCCAATCCTTTCTTAAATGGAGATCTAGAAGAAGATGTCTATATGGAGGTATCTCTTAGGACTATCAATTGAAGGTGATACTACTGGTCTTGCTTGCAAACTGAACAAGTCATTATATGGTTTGAAGCAAGCAAGCTAGCAGGCAATGGTTTGCCAAACTAACTGGTTCATTGTTGAAGAATGGTTTTACTCAGTTTTCCTCTGATTACTCAATGTTCGTCAAATGGGTACAAGGCAGAATAGTAGTGCTGCTAGTATATGTTGATGACATTATTCTAGCACGAATCCAATTGGGAGACTTGGAGGCTGTCAAGCATTACCTGAAGAAGGAATTCGAATTCAAGGAACTAGGTCCTTTGAAATACTTCCTGGGTCTTGAAATTGCAAGGAATGCATATGGAATTAGCGTATCACATAGAAAGTATTGTATGGATTTTCTTGAAGACACTGGTTTCATGAATGCCAAGAGTTGCAGAAGCCCCATTGAATGCAAAGTTAAGCTTAATACAAGAGATGGGGAGTTAGTAAAGGATCAAGGTTGCTATAAACGACTTGTGGGAAGGTTACACTATCTTACAATCACTATGCCAGATATAACCTATCCCATTCAGCAACTTAATCAATACCAGATTCAACCTCGAGAGCCACATATGCAAGCTGCATACAGAGTTCTCGGATACCTCAAGGGATCACCAGGACAAGGATTACATTTAGGACTGACTTGATATTGTAAGGTTACAGTGATGCTGATTGGGCTGCTTACCTTGACACACGAAGGTCCATTACATGTTATTTTACTTATTTGGGAGACTCTCTTCTAGGCTAGAAATCGAACAAACAAACCACATTTTCTCGGTCATCCTTTTGAGGCAGAGTACATGGCTTTAGCCCACCTAGTTTGTGAAGTGCAGTGGCTAAAGAGGTTGATTGCAGAGTTAGGATCTACACTACCATCTCCGGTTAATGTTTATTGTGACAACATGTCAGCAATTCAGATTGCTGACAATCCTGTTTATCATGAAAGGACCAAACACATCGAAATTGGCGTGCACATTACCAGGGAAAGAGTTAAGCCTAGGTAGATTAAGCTGAAGTATTTGTGAAGTGAAGATCAGTTGGCTGATCTCTTTACAAAGGGACTCAGTCGTTACAGGTTGCAATTCCTACTTGACAAATTGGGTGTAACAAATGTATACGCCCCAATTTGCGGGGGTGTGATGGAGTATAAGGCGAAAGGAGTCGTGGATCTGAAATAGTAGAAGCAGATTGCTCAAGGGAAAGTGGAGCCAAGTTTGCATAGTTCAATTCCAGAAGAAGAAAGTTTCGGTTAAAACGTTTCGGAGTGGCAGTCGTTTTGTCCTCAACTAAAGGTGTGGAAGAATGGAACGACGAAGCTTTATTTATGTTGTTAGTTTTTACTGTTTAAGTTATTTGGACGAATGACGTTTAGCCACGTCATTGTTACCGTTATATAAACAGTGAAACTTGAACACTATAAATAAACGAAATCCAGCATTAGGAAAGGCTCAGGATTCCAAAACCCTTTCCCCCATTCTTTCTTCTTATAGATAGAAGAACTGAGTTGTTGTTCGAGTTTGTGCCATTTGTGACTCTCAATCTCTCTTTCAATCTCCACAATGGCAAGGATTTTACTGGAGGAAGAAAGATATCAAAGTAAGAGAGTTGGATCCAGAAATTTGTGACTCTAAATCTCCATAGTGGCGTCGATTTTTCAGGAGGGAGAAAGAGGTCGAACAAGAGACTTGGATCCGGTCATTGCCCATTTGTTATTCTCAATCTCCATAGCAATGATTTTAGGACGAAAGACAACACTTTTATTAACACAAGCCTTAATTGGTATGTACCTATCATTGTTAAAAAAAAAAATTAAAAAGACAATATTTTTATCTTCTAAGTATAGAAAATATGGTAGATAATCTTGTTTATTTATTATTTTATGATTTATTATCTGGTATTACTTCGGTACAATAGTCTATTTTTTCGACACGATTTTTGTTAAAAAGTATTATTATATAAAAAACTGTATTTTACCGATACAAAACGGTTAAACCACGGTCGTACCACAAAATATCATACCATAAAAGAATCCGATATGATTTCTGGTACGGTTTCGCAAACCATGCTTCAAACCTATAAGAAACTGAACATACGTAGGTCAACAACTAAACTGTGTGTGCGGATCTCTCTCACGACCTAGTTTTTGGGGTCACAATCGCAATTCAATAGTCTAGATGTCATCCTAGGTCATCATATGTAGAATATCAATCAATATATCAATCCATCAACTCATCATCATCGAACCAATTTATCCAATATGATAATTAAATAGTTTCAGGAACACACAATCAATGCATAATATGAATTTCGGTTAATTATTAATGACGCCAAGGTTACCATACACGTATCCCCGCTCGAGCAAATCATCATTTGTGGTTTTCACGCAACCACAATATATGCGCAGAAGTGAGCTAGATCTACCCAGACCCATAATCATCTGGGGTAAAAGTGCAGGCGCTTTATACGTTTATGTGAGTTAGATGACGAACCAAACCATTCCCATTTCTCTCATCGATCACAAACGATCCGCAATCAATGCAGTCCTACTAATTAACCGGTCCATGCAACAATCGATCTATAACTAATGTAGTCCCACTGGTTCACGGTCCATGCATACCTCGCGTAAAACAGTTCATCAAACCAATTCAGCAATCAATGTCTATGCATTGAGTTCCTAGTTCAAATGAATCTAATGTTATTCATCTCATCATCATCTCAATCAATCCAGGAGTCAATGCCTTCCCATTGAGTTTCCAATTCAAATCAATCTCATGCCATTCATCTCATCATCATCATCATCATCATCATCATTCTTAAGCTCGTATTCATATTACCATGGTTATTTATGAATTATCCATCTTGAATTTATCTCAAGATTCCAGTCACCATTTCAATTCCTACAATCCACAATAATTCATTCATATCATCATTTCTCAAATATTCACACAATTTCATATCTTCAACACTCAAACAATCATATAACTTAAAATCACGTAGTCAACAACGATTATCAATCATTCATTCAACGACTAATCATAGTTCATTATATTATTAATCTTTCTTATATAATTTACATATCTCATTCACATCAATTCCAAATCATAGTTCAACATCCAAAATCCACCATTCAGTTTTTCAAAAATAATCCACACGGAGTTTACCAAGATAAACTTGTTTTACGGATTAGCGCATATTTACTTATCGTTAGCTGCGACTGCATAAGAGTATATTTATTTGATTTGCGAGTAACCACAAAACTCACAGTTTTGGTGAGGTTAACGGTTTAACTGCAATTGTATTACCACTCTTTCCAAAACTATTAAATCGATTTTTGATTAGTCAATAACATAATGCCCTTGACGGTTTGATTTTGATTCTTGACAATTTGCTTGATTTGGTTGTTGATTTTTCATTGTTAATCAAACCAAACTGACAGCCCTGACCCGACCAAATGAAAGGACTATGCTCAAAGCTCATAATTACCATATATTTAATTAAACTTCCCACCTCGTAGAGAGCCCCAAGAGTCCCCACTACTCTACACTAACACATGACCTTTTGCACTTTTTCATTTTTTATTTTCTCACAAAAATGTATAAAAAAATCAACACAACTTGCCACCCCAAAATTACCATTTTTCGGTTTCTCTCTTCCAATGTGCTTAATTTTTTTTAGTCTATAAATTCCAAACACCAAACACCCACAGAAACCTCTCCCCCTTCCCTTTCCTTAATCCCTTCCCCTTATCCTCATTTCCAGCCTTTCCTTTCAAGCTCTTTCCTTCTTCCTTCCTCCTTAATAATCCCTTCCCCTCAGTTTACATATTCCACCATCTCCCCTCTTCCCAACCCCTAATCATCTTATCTTCTTCTTAAACACTGTTCTCGATCCCCTTAATCAAGTTGTTAATCCGATCTCTCCAGGGCGCAAACCAAAATTTGATGCTAAACTTTCTTCTTCCTAGCATTCGAGACCCATGTCTCCGGTCGTAAGTGAAATCCTTCTCTCCGGTCTGACGATCAACTCCACCCTCCGCCGCCGCACCCACCTCGTTCAATCCTTCTCCGTTTGCTTCCTCTACTGGTTCTACGTTTTCTCATGAACTCCCTCCCCCCAATTCCTTTGCTAATTTCTGTATACTAGCTCGCTTCTTTTCCCTGTTGCGATTAAATCATTCCCAGATCTGTTAAGGGGGAAAAAAATCCTTCTAGTTTTCCAAATTTTGTTTTGTCTTCTTGTTACTTTCTGTTCTGCGATGGCGTCTTCAAGCTTGGGAGCTTCGTCGGGGTCTACCGGCGGCGCTCTGATGAGGAACTCCAGCTCGGAGGATGATCTGAATCTGGTTTTGATGGACGAGAGGAAGCGGAAGAGGAAGCTCTCCAACAGGGAGTCTGCGCGCCGATCCAGGATGCGGAAGCAGAATCACCTAGACGAGCTGTCGGCTCAGGTGGCTCAGCTCACCAAGGACAACGCCGAAATCGTCGCCAGCGTGAACCTCAAGACCCAGCTCTTCCTCGGCGCCGAAGCCGAAAACTCCGTCCTCCGCGCCCAAGCCGCCGAGCTGAGCCATCGGCTCGACTCGCTCAATGAAATCGTCAACTACGTCGACTCCCTCCGATACGCCGCCGTTCCCGCTCCCACCACCACCGCCGCCGGCGGTGCTACCGGCGCTACTACTGCTCTTGAGGCTGCGGACGACTGTTTCATGATGATGAACAATGAGAACCCGTGGAGCTGCTCGGCTTTCCAGCCGGTGATGGACATGGTTATGTACTGATACAACAAGTAATGGTATTTGGGATTTGATTATATTTTTCTTAGTGTTGGCAAAAGGAAAGTATTGTTCATAAAGTCTCCTTTAATGGCAAACGGGAGGAATTTGCATGCTTTTCTTTTTTCGGAGTACCAATCTGCAAAATGGGCACCGGCGCAAACCGCTGCAATGAACGACGAGAGAGAAGACAATGGCGATTGGTTGAGTATTGTTCTGTATGAATTAATTTGTGGAGAAAAATAAAATAGTTGATTTCTTCCTTGTATTATTTCTTGGTCAGTGTGAATTAAGAATTAATTATATGGAAATGAAATCCTTCGCCCCAAATTGTGCTGCTCTCCTTCCCTCTCTGTATTGATTGTATCAACCATTAGAGTTGGAAACGTAACATCTTCCTGTATCTACTCCTCGACCTCTTTTAATTACTTTTAGCAATCGATATAATAACTTCCAACTCGAATTTCGAAAGATCTAAATCTTATATTCGTTTTCATTCTGTCAGCAATCAGCATCCTTCTTGGGTTTGGAAGGTCATCCAACGGTTATGCACCGCGAGGTGTGAATCCAACGGTGTAATAGGGCATTCTTAGTAAACTACCACAACGAAACCATTTTAGAAAATTTACATGTAACTATTCATAAGTAGTGGTGTACGTGGATAGGGTGGTTTGGTTTTAGGCATTTTAATCTCCCGATCTATGCACTACGGTTTAGGAAATATTAAATCACAACCCATCTAAAAAATTTAAACCCTACTGTTTGTTTCTAATTTGGTTGGATAGGGTTGGCGATATTTTTATGTAAAAACCCATCGCAACACAAAATATGTAATTATTCTACACCATAAAAATATTTTATAGCTAATTAAAAATTCAAAAGAATAAACAGAGGTGAAAGGTATCAAAATTCACAAATATTGTTTGAAATAGGCTAAAAAGGTTATAAATGAACGCATCCATAATATGATATTCTATTAAAATTGTACACACAAAAAAGGATTACGTGAATCATAGTTATATTAAATTTATGTCTAAACTTTAAGCCGAAAAATGCATTAGATTAGGGAGACTATGAGAGAAAAACATGGGGAAATATCTTAATTTTCTCATAAGTACGACTATATACGACATAAATATTTTTTTGGATAAGAACCCATACCAATTATTAGAACACGGGTTGGGTCGGATTCTACGGGTTGTGTAATCTAAAATCTAAACCCTCCACAAAAGAGACGGGTTGTACAAAAGAAAACTCTCACTCAACTAAAACCTTCATTTTAGTGATAAATACGGGTGGGTTCGATCAGTTTGGACGATTGAGTCGGTTTACGGGTGTGTTTGTTCACCCATATCCATAAGAACGCTTGCATCCTGAAGTTGTGGATTGTTAGAACGCACAATCCTACAAGGTAAAGACATAAGTTGAGTCAATTTAGTGGGGTTTATGAACACTATGTTTGGCAACAAGGGGGGTGCAAGTTCGAGTGGGGTACAAGTTGAGGGGTAAATTGTTGGGGGGTGCAACTTGGTGGAGGGTGTAAGTGGAGGGGTAAATTGTTGTTTGGATGAAAAAGTAGGGGGGTGCAAATAGAGTAAAAAGTAAGTAATTATATTATTATAAAATAGATTTATCAATTTATAAAATATTATCACAAACATGAAAATTCAATATATAATAATAAAAATAATAAATAAAAATAATTTTAATAAAAATAATTATTATATAATAATGCTCAAATATAATTATTTATAACAACAATAATAATCATTGGTCGAGCAACCTCGAAACTCGAAATCCAACTCGTAACTGGTCCTAAGGGGGTTCTCGTGCCTAACTTTAAATTGAATATGGTCAAACTTAGTCAAACACGTTCGAATCTGTAAGTTTTAACTACTTATTAAAGTAAATCGAGTTAACTAAACTGTTCCTCTCTATCTTTTCAACAAATGCTTCTTATCTCTAATTTTCAATGCAAATTCGGGTCAACTAAGAGATATCGATTTGACGAGGCGAACATTGACAAACTTGCTCTCTGAGTCAAACGGTCAACCCCAAACAACTTCTACACTAATATAGATATAAGAAAAATTAATAATATTAATTATTATGTAATTATAGTCTAATTAAAAATTCATAATTCCCCTCCTCCCCCTTCCCCCTCCCTTCCTTCCTTCCCTTGCACCCCAATTTGGGGGGTAAGCCGAAACAGTGAATTTGCGCTCACGTTTTGCACCCCCTACTGTTACAAAATAACCAAACGGGGGTAAACACCTTGGAACTTGTGTTTACCCCTCCAAACTTGCACCCCCTTCCATTTACACCCCTTCCCAAACATAGTGGAAGAGTAGTTGCTTCTATTTTGTGCATGGATTGCTACTTGCTGTTCTAGTTAGTGGGGTTCACACCTCAATCGATTCCCAATCTTGGTTCTAGATGTGAGCAATTATTTGTAGCTAGGGCACGGAATTGTATGATGTGTAGTGGACAAAGAGATGATTTGGCGGGTGACATCATTTGTTGTTTTCATGATTGATGGATTGAATCCTCTCTCGTTTGGACAATAGTACTAGTGGACCATTACTATGAAAAGCCATCATATGGGGATTGAAACGGATTCGAGTGGAGCTGATTTTCGTATATATCATCTCTTAGAATCATGATTTTAAAATTGTAATCATTTCTATAATTAAAATTCTGTGAGATGTAATATTTCATACAAAAACCAACTAGTATGCGATTTGGGAAAAACCCACCTGCACCATTCCATACAATCATGTATAAAGTTTTTATGCAATATAAAAAATAAAAACTTCATCATGTCAATAGAAAATGAAACTCATTTGTAAAATTGTTTGTAAAACTTAGAGAAATTGAATAAGATCTTAGTCTAGATAATTATAATGTTTTAGAGAAATGGATGAGCGAAGTGTTAAAATGAATGAGTATATAACATAGTTGTAATACATACTCGGGGTGGGTTAGGTGTCACTACTTAAAATACCAAAAATCACACCAAGCTCATTCAGTGGCAGACCCAAGAATTTTATATAGGGGTGTCCCATTCAAAATTAAATTAAAAAGTATTAAATATGAAAATATTCAACTAGTATAAATTACAGAAAAATGCCATGATGTGTTTTCATATTTTAAAAAACAATTGTAAAATACAGTCACTGTCTATGGTGCTCAACATATCTATATATCTTACTAGACAATCATTCGCAAACTAATTGCATATTTGATTGCAAAACTTGTTCTAAATGTAACCCAAAGTTGAAAATCTCACTCAATACTTAGAATTGCAACTGGTAAAATCAATAAAACTTCTTGAAGCAATAGACCAACGAATATGATAGGTTCACTTTTGTCTCCCCCATTGACCTGATATAATTCAACAATAGAATACCTCATCATTCTTAACACAATGCTAATAATTCTCAAGCTAACGTAGAAGAAAATAATAATGAAAAGGTAATCAAGCCCAACCAAGCAAGATTTGTGCCAAATAGGAATACCAATAAGAACATATTGATTCTCCAAGAAATAGTCCATTCGATGTCAAGGAAGTCAGACAAGAAGGGAGATATGTTTCTCAAAATCGATCTTGATCAAAGGGTTCCTGGGTAGATAGTGTTACTTCGAACTTCATCGCAATATCTTTAGTGAATTGTCGGAAATCACACAACTGTGAATCTCCGACCGTGGATAGTCAGTATTAGGATTCTTATTCTCCCAATACTGGAAACCACGTAAAAATCGTGGGGTGTCTTCTTACTCTGTATTTCAGTTTCTATTTTGTTTGCATCTCTGTGTTCGTGTTCTGGTTGTGCAGGGAAGATCGCTCAAGAACAGCTAAGGAAGACGAACGAGTGCAGGGTTGGAGAACTCGTTGAGACTGGGTTTGATTTAATCGTTATCATAATTGTCTGGGTTCATTACTTACTGTCGTGTTCTTGATTTTCCTCCCATGTTCTTCATTCTAATAGAAGCAAGTTACCTTTGGATCGAAGGTGCAAGCAGGAGTGAAGACTAAGTTTGAATTTAATACACAGTCATTTTTGGGTTGGTCACTTAGAGACTGGGTCGGGATGAATAATAAGTTGGGCTGGGTTTCCTGGTTGGTTATTTCTTCCGCTTGAGTTGAACAGTTAGGCTTAGAAGCCAGTCAGGCAAAATGATAGGCTTACTGGTTAGGTTTCATTTAATAGCCTAAGTAAAGTTTTAAACGAGTAACTAAGCTAAGGTGTTTGATTAGCGTGTAGAGTTTAGGCTGAGGTCCTTTTAGCAGACACACTAGGTAGATAGTTGGTGTAGCAAGTAAATTAATCATTTAGTTTGTCTTTTATGTTCAATTGGGTCAAACATTATAATTGAGCTTATTTGTGGTTAAGTTATTGAAAGACAGGTATAAAGTCTCGCGCTCGACGCAACCAACACGTGGCATCAGAGCATGGTTACCGTAGAACAAGGTTCAACGACCTCCGGTGTTAATCAAGATGGCGCGGGTCCCAAAAATAATGCTCCACTCTATCTGGCTGACGGATTCTCTCAAAATCGGCCTCCCAGATTTGAAGGAGTTAATTATGGGTATTGGAAAAATCGCATTGAATTATTTGTTGGATCCACAGATCCAAAACTCTGGGCTAGAGTCATCAAAGGTCCATACGAGCTCAAGGTAGATCAAGAAAAATGGACAGACAAAGACTTCGAAAAGTTTCAGCAAAACTGCAAGGCAAAAAATCTTATGTACTGTGCACTCGGGCCAGAAGAATATCACAAAGTTGCTGGATGCAAGACTGCTAAGGAAATCTGGGACAAGCTCCAGGTTACTTATGAAGGTACTTCTCAAGTCAAAACATCTCGAATCAATTCATTAAAACAGCAATTCGAGTTGTTCAAAATGGAAGAAGGAGAAACTATCCGGAAAATGTATGAGCATTTCACAAACATTGTGAACAGTCTGGAGAACCTTGGAAAATCTTATGAAAGTGGAGATCTTGTTAGAAAAATATTATGGAGTCTCCCAGAGCAATGGACTCCGAAGGTAACTGCAATAGAAGAAGCTAAAGACCTGGAGACGTTAGCTATAGATGAACTCATCGGGTCATTAGCAACTCATGAGGACAAGCTCAACAAAGGAAATTCTGATAAAGGAAAGAAGGAAATAGCCTTCAAGGCTACCACATACAACGAAGACACTGAAGATCTCTAAGATATGGAGGATGAAGAATTGGACCTACTATGCAAACAAATTAGTAGATTGCTTCGTATGAGAAAAGAAAAACGAAGAGGAAACTTCGTTAACAAGAATAGAGAATTTGAGAAAGAAGCTGGTGTAACAAAATATCCTCAATCAAGAGCATTCCACAAAAGCAAGAATGAACAGGTTCATCCGGTTAAGGTTCAAAACACTACCGGATGCTTTAGATGTGGGAAAACTGGGCATATCAAGGCTGAATGTCCTCTAGTACGAAAAGAATGAGCCATGGATGCAACATGGAGCTGCATCAAAGAGTAAGATGAAGATGAAGAGGAAACAAGAGAAGAAAGTTACATGGCTATTGATGTTGAGAAACTATCAGAGGGACACAACTCAAACGAGGTTTGCTTCCAAGTGAGCATGGAGGCAACTTAATGGATACTAGACAGTGGATGCTCATACCATATGACAGGAAATCGAAACTTGTTCACCACACTCAAAAAAGGTAAAAGTGGTAAGGTATTTTTTGGTGACAATAATTCTGCTGAAATAATAGGAAGAGGCATAGTAGGTTCAGATCCATGCATTGAGAATGTGATGCTAGTAAAAGGCCTTAAGAATAATTTGTTCTCTGTTAGTCAAATGTGTGGTAAAGATAAGAGGATAATCTTTGAACATGATTGTTGCTACATTGAGTCATTGGTTGATAAGAAAGTGCTTTCAACCAGTAGTCGTAAAAATAAGTTGTATGTCATAAATCTAGATGATAAAGAAAGTTTTAAGGTAACTTGCCTAATGTCATTAGAGAAAAATGATCAAATAGATTGGCATAGGAAGCTGGGACATGTGAGTATTGGGATTCTGTCTAAACTAAGTGATCTTGAGCTAGTTAAAGGCCTACCTAAGTTAAAAAGCAAAAAGGAGTTCTTTTGTGATGCTTGTGCTAAAGGAAAGCATACAAGGTCTAGCTTAAAGAGTAAGACGCTAGTATCCACAGCTAGACGTCTTGAACTACTTCACCTTGATCTCTTCGGACCTACCAATGTGGTAAGCTATGGAGGTAAGTCTTATGCTTTCGTAATTGTGGATGACTATTCTCGTTTCACTTGGGTAATGTTTCTAGCTAGCATAAGTGAAGCTTTCAAAATTTTGAGTCTCTTACTAGGAAATTGGAGAATGAAAAACAATCTAAGGTTGCTAGCATTAGAAGTGATCATGGTGGAGAATTTATCTCTGAAGATTTTGAACTCTTTTGCAATAAGCTAGGAATAAGTCATAATTTTTCTGCTCCTAGAACTCCGCAAAAAAATGGAGTTGTGCAAAGGAAAAATCGAACTTTGATTGATATAGCTCGAACAATGTTACAGGACTATGGTTTGCTAAAGTACTTTTGGGCAGAAGCCATAAATACTGCTTGCTATATTACTAATCGAGCATTGATCAGATATGGAATTAAGAAAACTTCTTATGAGATTTGGAAAGGAAGAAAACTCAATCTGAGTTACTTTCATCCCTTTGGTTGCAAATGCTTTGCATTAAACACCAAAGACCATCTTGGCAAGTTTGATGCCAAATCCGATGAATGTGTGTTCTTGGGATATTCCTTGACTTGCAAGGCATATAGAGTTTTCAACAAAAGGACTCTCAAAGTGGAGGATTCCATAAATGTGATATTTGATGAATCTTCAAATGAGTGTGCAAATGAGATAGATGAAGATTATTTTGGACTTGGTGGAAACTATGATCAACCAAGAACACCAAACAAGGAGAAATCTGATCCTGGAACAAACATTTCCGAAGACCAAGATAAAGCAGGAAGTATCACAAACTCACAGAGCGAGCAAGAGCAAAATGAAAGGCAACCACCTCCACACATTGTCAAACGACATCCTCCATCTTTAATGATAGGTGGGCTAAATGAAGGTATGGTTACTCGTTCTAGAAATTCTATTGTGCATACTCCCTTTGTGCCATTAGTTGAACCTAAAAACGTGTTAGATGCCTTGAATGATGAAAATTGGAATGATGCTATGAATGAAGAAATGAGTCAGTTTGAGCGAGCAAATGTTTGGGATTTGGTACCCAGACCGCCTAATAGAATTATTATTGGGACCAAGTGGATTTACAAGATCAAGTCAAATAAAAATGGGGTAGCAACTAGAAATAGGGCTAGGTTAGTAGCTCAAGGGTATAATCAAGAAGAGGGAATAGATTTTGAGTAAACCTTTGCCCCGGTCGCTAGATTAGAGGCTATTAGAATGCAATGTGCTTTCGCTAGCTCTGAAGGCTTTAAACTTTTTCAAATGGATGTCAAAAGTGCCTTTTTAAATGGAGATTTAAAAGAGGAAGTGTATGTTGAGCAACCACCCGGTTTTGAAGATTTTCGATATCTAAACCATGTCTATAAATTAAAAAAGGCATTGTATGAGTTAAAACAAGCTCCACGAGCTTGGTATGAAAAACTTAGTTCTTTTCTTTTAGGAGAAGATTTTAAAAGGGGCTCAGTAGATAAAACTCTCTTTATAAAAGATAAAGGACAACATCTTTTGCTAGTCCAAATATATGTTGATGACATTATATTTGGATCCTATAGCAAAGAGTTGTGCGAATATTTTGAAAATATCTTGAAAAGAACTTTTGAAATGAGTGCAATGGGAGAACTAACCTATTTTTTGGGATTGCAAATGAAACAAACAACTCGAGGCATTTTCATTAGTCAAACAAAGTATATTCAAAATATGTTGTAGACACCCCATTTTGTCCGGGTCAATTACTCAACTAAAAATTCTAATTAATCTTTAAATGTCGTAAGATAATTAGATTGGCCACTAGATTGGCCATTGCGAGTCTAAAATATCGACGATTGTATAAATTATTCAAATTCGATTCGAGTGGATTAATAGGACCGATTGGCTTCCAATTTACGCTGTTGGCCCAACACAGAAAATAGAGAAGAAGAATAAAGTTTTATTTAAATTATCAATAAATTATACAATTACAATCAGAATACAAATTACAAATAAGAATTACTACATGAAAATTACAATCAATATTTGTTTCTTCCATCTCTTTTTGAAGCCAGCAATGGACCTGCCAAACAACAAGAAAGGAGATAGTCTATTCAGACCCAAAACCAAGACAAGTCCAGAAGATCATAGCCCACAGTCAGGCCCAAGAGAGCCCAAGATCTCATGGGTCAGATCCTGACCAGCCCAGAAAAGGCCCAACCCGACGAACCGGTTGAAACAGAATTGGTCCGACCAAACCCAGAAACCACCACCTCTTTTTTCTATAAAAGCAGGCTCAATTTTCAAGAGAAGGACAGCTTTTCAGGAGGGGAAAGACTTCACTTCTTCCTTTGTCAGTTTTAGTTTCTTCTTCTTAGTCATTTGAGAGTTTCTTTCTTTTCTTAGTCTGTTCAGAGAAGAGGGGAAACGCTGGAAAAATAGGAAAAAAACACAAACACAAACCTTTTTCTTTCCTTCTTTATTCTGTCAAATAGAAGTAGAAGGCAAACAGAAGCCTCTGTACTGTAATCAGTAGAACCAGGTTCATATTCCAGTTCTAATGATACATCATCCCTTTACTACTCTTTTATTCTCTTCTCCTACTCGTCCTTTTTGTCAAACTAACTCTATATTATTGTTAATACCACTGTTACTATCATCATCATAATCATAATCATCATCATCATCTAAACGTCACGATTTCTACATAAGAGTGATTGAAAACTAATCAAAACCCAGATTTACTCTACTAACTTGTCCATCTCATTCAGCTTTATTTTACTTTCAGTTCCAGTATTTATTTATTTCAAGCACAGTTACTTCATTAATTACATTCCCTTCAATAGCCGACTTCATACTTGTGAGTTAGACTTCTTATTACATAGTATTATTGCTTACCAATTATGCTATTTACTTTTCGTCATTTTACAATTCCTTTATTTATGTCTTATTTCAATCCCTTTGTTTTCTAGAACTAGAATAGAGCTGATATCACCAAAAACAGCATCGTCATTTTTCCTAAATACCCCCAAAAGAAAAACACATCCATTTCAACAAAGTCATATTAACACAAAATCCCCAGGTTCAAAATCGTCACAAACATCTTTCCAAGATACCAGATCTGCGAACCATACTCCAATCCACAAACAACATAATTCTTTTTTCCAGTTTAACCTCCCCAGCCGTAGTAAACCGAATTTAGGAGAAACTCACCTAGATCAAAGCCATCTCCGAAACCTACAAATCAAACTATCAAAATCAGAAATAGAAACAACCCGAAATCCCTTTAAAACCCACATAAAACCACAAAAATACTCGCAGCAAAAAAGGTCGACAGTCGACTTTTCCCCTCTCGCACAAATATCGGAGAATCTCGCTGGCCGGAGACTTCTTTCTCCCTTCGATCAAACCCAAAAATAAAAATGGGGAGAAGGTTAGAAACATGCTCGCACACCAAAAACCCAGAAAATCGAACATGCAAAACCATAATCCGCCACTTACCATCGATCTAGTCACCGCCGCTGACTCCCTCTTCTTCCCTCGTCCGCCATTAAGCCCAGAAAAAAAGTAAAAAGGGTGAGAACCCTCACTCCCCCAATAATCGAAATAAAAAACCAAGGAAAACATGCATGTCGATATTTACCTAGATCGATTCTCCTTTCATGGTCGATTTGGGGTTTCCGGTCGGAACTGGGTAATCGACGGCGGGTTGGGAAGAAGAGGACCCTCGTTTCTCGTGCTTGTTGTTCTTGTTTCAAAGGAAACGGGAAAAAAAAACGAGAGAGGAAGATGAAGGAGAGCCCTGTCTGGAAAGGGTCGCACGAAGAAGGAAAGAAGAGATTGAAAGTCGAATTTTTTGTGGATCGTCGTGTTTTCTTCCAGAGAAGAAAATAGATCAAGAAAAGGAGAGAGAGGAGTTTTGTTTCTTATTTTGGTTATTCTGTTTCAGAGGAAAGGGGTAAAATGAAAGAAAGAAAGATCGAGAAGGTGAGCGGCTAGGGTTTTCACGTTCCATCTGATCCTTTAATCTCGTTTTTTTTCAAATTACCCTTTTTGCCCTCTCTATTTCGTTTAAATTAAACCCTCCTGCCATCTTCGTCTTCAAAAATCGAAACAAACAAAAAAATCAACAGCGTCCGTCGAACCCTGGCCTTTGCTCTAACGTTCTGAACCAGGATGTTTAGCCATTAGGCTAACTATATCATATTCGTTTTCTTAAAAGACGTTGCTTATATTTATTATGCTCGACTCATGATCAATAGATTTCAATAGTCGTTTTATGAGGAAACTATTTAAAAGGCATCACTCAATTACCAAAATATATTTCCTAAAATAATTCAAATTAACATTTAAATTAAGATCAATAAAATTTGTTGAGATTACTTCATAAATCTTTTCAAAATATTGAACTAACTAAAAACTCTTTCTTTCCTTTATGATGCACGTCAATAGACGTAAACATCTCAACGAAAATTCTTTTTTTTTTTTACCTGCATAGTCCAATAAGACTTTAAATTGCATAATTAAAACACTCAACCCTTGGAAACTTATCGATTCAGTAGTACCGATTTAGGACGTTGTGGGGCGTGAATACACTTCCCACACGTAACCGTACTCCCGAACCCAAATCGCTATAATTTCGCAGGCCAAATCCCGGTTTTGACCCTATGGTCGAGACCGATCCAATTAGTGTTCGGCCCACTACTTTCTAAGGTCGATGGCGACTCCGAGCAAATTCGCGACCGATCCCAATTTCGAGGGGCGGTTGCGACAGTGGCGACTCCGCTGGGGAGCTGTTGAGAGTCAAGCTACATACTTAAATCGATAAGCTTTTCTTACTTTCTTTTTGGGTGTTTATTATATTGATTGCGCTTTTTATTTACTTTGTATTAAATTTCATTTCGTACTTAAAAAGCTCTATACCTGAGCTCTCCCTTTAGAAATTGCAACGTGTAACGTGACTCCTACAATAGTAGGGGAATATCGTGAAACTTACTAACCAAGTTGAACTCAAATCCGAGGTTGATTTGAGGTATCCGGCTAAGCTTGAAAGAGCAATAGTAGGATACAACTTGGGTATTTTCCTAGATACCTTTACCAACCATTTAGTAAGCTTAGCAGCCGCCCAACACCATCTCGTATAAACCTTATCGTCAAATCTTCCATAACTTTTTATGTTTATTTAATTAGAGAATTGTTTTTTAATTTAGATATATGTTTGCTTGTGATGTGATAATTTGTGCATTATTGATTACTTTTATAATGTGGTTTTATTATGCACATAAAAGCTTTTCAAAATTCATGACATTAGCATCCATCCTATTCAAAATCATAATAGATAAAGCACATGCATCCATTAAAGTCATCTTTGCATTTACACATTCATATCATTTAGCATCATAAGCATCATGTATACAAAACCGTTTAACAAACAATAAATTTGTCAGGGTTCCTTAAAATTGCTCGCCTACCAGGAAAAAGCCAGCCTTTTAAGCACTTCACTAGATCAAAACTCAAGGTCTTCATGGAGGCATTTCAGAAAGAGATAAATGACATCAATGGGAAGCTAACGGGGTTTGATGAGAAACTGACGGGATTTGATGAAAAACTGGCGGGTTTTGATGAGATGAAAGGTCAACTCAGCACAATTTTGAGCATACTATCAGGAAAAGGAAAGGGGGTTGCAACCAACGAAGAAGCCATATTCGACGAAGAAGATCACTATGAACAACCTAAAGGAGATGCCTCGGGTAGTAAATTTATTTTCATACCTTCGAAGAACACATGTGACGAAGATGGCATAGGCTAACCAAAGCATGACAAATTAGAAGAGACTGAGAAGCAGGAGGAACATGGGGTTGATGCTATGCTGAAAGAAAAATTGGAACACATGAATGAACGAATAAGAAGCATAGAAGGATTTGAATCCTATGAGCCTATGGATGCATCGCAACTATGTTTAGTCCCAGATGTCATAATTCCTCATAAATTTCAAATGCCTGAATTTGAAAGATACAATGGCACTACTTGCCCAAGAAGCCATCTAGTCATGTTTTGTAATAAAATGGCTAACTATATTCGTGATGAAAGGTTGATGATACATTGCTTCCAAAATAGCTTGAGCAGCTCCGCGCTGAGATGGTATATGCAATTAGAGAAAACGAAAGTGAAAAGGTGGCAAGACCTAGCCGATGCATTCATGAGGCATTACAAGCATAACCAGGATTTGGCCCCAGATCGGGAGGATCTACGTAATATGGAAAAGAACGAGAAAGAATCGTTCCGAGAGTATGCTCATAGATGGAGGGAGAAGGCGGCAGATGTTCAACCCCCGCTGTTAGAAAAGGAAATGGTGTCAATCTTCTTCGGAACATTGAGGGTTCCGTATTACAACAACATGGTGGGAATTACCACAACCAACTTTGCGGACTTGCTAGTAATTGGAGAGCGAATTGAAAAGGGATTGAAGCAAGGCCGGATGGAAAGTCCGGAAGCCTCAAAGAAACCATACCAAACTCGAAGGGGAGATGGAGAGATTCATTCTGCTCAAGAAGACTCATCCAGAAGAGGAAGGTGGAATCACCAACCTCAAGACAATCAAGCTAATCCCTATGTTTCAAATACCGCATTGATTACTCAACGTCTGAATTTTCCTACTCAATCACCAGTGGCACCACCACCAAATAACCAAGACCAGAACAATTCTGGGAGATACAAAAACACCATCCAAATTGATCCTATTCCTATTACGTACACTGAACTTTTCCCACAACTGCTCCAAAGTCATCTAATTTCCCCGGTTCCATCTGAGCCTATGCAACCTCCATTTCCACCGTGGTACAAGCCAGGAGAACATGGCACTTATCATTCTGGAGTCCCTGGCCACTCGACCGAAGCTTGCAGGACATTGAAGATAAAGGTGCAACAGATGATCAATGCCGGTTGGTTGAAATTTGAAGAGGAGTCAAAGCGCCCAAACATAAACAATAATCCACTGCCCGCTCATGGGAAGTAGCAGGCGTACTACAAAGCAATGCTCGATTCAAGGATGATGTTGGTCCTATTACGTAAATAAACTTATCGAGCTAATTTCCTTAACAATAGATGTATCGCCTTTGCTTTCATCATTATAAATAATAAGATTTCAACCTTTAGACTTCTTTGGAATGTTTTGTGACTATTATCAATCTTAATATAGAAGTTTGCATCAATGGTTTTTCATTGCCCAATTGACGAATGTTATTCCCAATTTCTTTAAATTTGATGGAAACCATCAAAACTAGTTTTATTTCCAAGTAAAGCCATGAGATTGCCATCAAATTTGAGCACCCCACTGGTGTTGAGCGATTATAAGCACCCCATTGTGTTAACAATGTGCACACTGCGCCAGAACTAAGAGTGTAAACACCCCATTGGGTGTACACGAATCGTGTGAGTGAGTAGTCAAAAGGTGTAACGAGCGTATGACATCAGGCTACTTGTAGAATCTCGTCACCATCATTGCCAACTTTCGCTAGTGAATTGGGATCCAAATACATATGAAGCTAATCAAGGAAAAAAATTCAAATAAGCCTAATGGCATTAGAAGTTTTGCTTCTTCAAGAGAGGAGTAACCAACCAGCCAATCCAACGAGAAAATACACTTACATTGTGAAGTACTAACCTTTTGCTGCTTCTGTCTAGTTATACAAATGTCAGAGGTGAGAATAAGGGAAGCATATTCTGTGCCACAACCAAGTTAACTAAGTCTCACGACAAAAAAAAAAAAACAAAGCAAAGAAAAATTGTTGTAGGACTTACATGTTAAAGGCCCCTTCATTAGCATTTGAAGTCAACCATTCACGGCAAATCAAAATGTTTGTCGGCTAATACCTACAGAAAACCTTAAGCAAAGAACCTATGAGATGAGACTTCCCATAGCCAAGTTCACATTCACAAAGACCTCATTTATTCACCACCTGACCCCACCTCATAAAATCTCAAGACAAGGGGGCAACGTAAGACGCATTCCCCAAGATGTCCAAAAGCCACCACTATTTTTGAGAAAGAAAGGCTCGAGAAAACCATGATAATTGCCATTAGGATCACTCTAAGCCATCATTTAACCTAATACCTCGGGGGCAAGCCAACATCCCTTACAAGAAACTTCACAATACCAAAATCAGACTTCATAAGAATTTCCTCATTTGAAAAAGCCATTACCCCGAACATATTTTACTATCAACATAAAAGAAGGCCTCTCATAGTGACCCGAATTTTAATGGTAGCTGAAATGTCATATGCTCAAAGCACCCTTAGGAATGAGTGAGAGTGAATCCGAGCATGACGTCGAAAATGAGAGTAGAGTGAGTGTTTTGGATTTTCTCATGGCTTTACTTGCTCCCTTCTCATTGAAAAATTCAAAAATATTTTAGCCACATGAAATTACCATACAAAATTGTATCCAATTCTTACACACTTTTCTCAAATTTCAACAAGTTCCCATGATACTTTTCCAATCACATTTGTCATACATTTTTGCACTAATCTTCAGTTAAGGTTGATAAAGTCACCCTTTATTCCATAGAATAGAAAGTGAACGCCAGATCTTTGGGGGTAAGAACAGTGTAACCTCGACGGAGAAGCATTCTGAAATGCTCGCGAACGAAAGTACCCAACTTGTCAACTCATCAGTTTAAAAATCTCAAAGAATTGGAGAGAACCATTGATTTTGGTCAACCAATCAATTATCCCTCCACGATAGGAGGAGCACAATACAATAGACCAACGAAAATTTAACAACCTTGACTTGGACAACAAGAAGCCCGAGGGAAGAACGACTAAGAGCTCTCACTATGAAGCACAACTGAGAAGCATCCCTACAAGAGACAATGACACAAGTTCTTGCGGGTGATCAATTTAAAGAAGCCCAGGACAAAAAAAAAATCAAAAACAAAAACAATGACATTCTCAAATCAATTGATAAATGCATCACATCATTTTTTACAACATTCATGACTTTATCATTCATTAGCATGACTCATCACACGATCATTTTTAAAATCATTAGACAACATCATCATATCACAATCATGCTCATTAACATACATTTCCAAACACATTTTGATATTCGTCGAGATTTCAAGGACAACGATTATGTTTCCAACTTCATAAAAATCTGACATTAGCTTTTCACTTACAATTAGAACTCGTCTTTATTAAATTTTAGACATGCTCTCAGCAAAACCATAAACACATTAAATTGGTGCTAGCGAGTGTCAAAAAAATACGACACTAATGCTAATAAGCATAAAACAATTAATTATAAAAAATTCAAAAATTAGCGCTGACGTGCGCTTCGTTTACGTCATCATCAGGAAAACTCATCAATTAGCGCTGACGTGCGCTTCGTTTACGTCATCATCAGGAAAACTCATCAATTAGCGCTGACGTGCGCTTCGTTTACGTCATCATCAGGAAACCCCAACAATTAGCGCGGACGTGCGCTTCGTTTACTTCATTTTCAAAAGAGTTCAACAGTTAGCGCTGGCGTGCGCTTCGTTTACGTCATCATCAGAAAAAAATAATTAGCGTTGACGTGCGCTTCATTTACGTCATCATCGAGAAAAATGTAACAATTGGCGATGACGAATGTCGAAAAATACCTCACCTGCAAAATATAATCCTCCACTGAACTGAGAAAATGTGGTGTCTATACGGGAACTTTGTATAACTTTTTACATAAAGAGATATACAAGGGGGGCAACTGTAGACACCCCATTTTGTCCGGGTCAATTACTCAACTAAAAATTCTAATTAATCTTTAAATGTCGTAAGATAATTAGATTGGCCACTAGATTGGCCATTGCGAGTCTAAAATATCGACGAGTGTATAATTTATTCAAATTCGATTCGAGTGGATTAATAGGACCGATTGGCTTCCAATTTACGCTTTTGGCCCAACACAGAAAATACAGAAGAAGAATAAAGTTTTATTTAAATTATCAATATATTATACAATTACAATCAGAATACAAATTACAAATAAGAATTACTACATGAAAATTACAATCAATAAATGTTTCTTCCATCTCTTTTTGAAGCCAGCAATGGACCTGCCAAACAACAAGAAAGGAGACAGTCTATTCAGACCCAGAACCAAGACAAGTCCAGAAGATCATAGCCCACAGTCAGGCCCAAGAGAGCCCAAGATCTCATGGGTCAGATCCTCACCAGCCCAGAAAAGGCCCAACCCGATGAACCGGTTGAAACAGAATTGGTCCGACCAAACCCAGAAACCACCGCCTCTTTTTTCTATAAAAGCAGGCTCAATTTTCAAGAGAAGGACAGCTTTTCAAGAGGGGAAAGACTTCACTTCTTCCTTTGTCAGTTTTAGTTTCTTCTTCTTAGTCACTTGAGAGTTTCTTTCTTTTCTTAGTCTGTTCAGAGAAGAGGGGAAACGCTGGAAAAATAGGAAAAAAACACAAACACAAACACTTTTTCTTTCCTTCTTTATTCTGTCAAATAAAAGTAGAAGGCAAACAGAAGCCTCTGTACTGTAATCAGTAGAACCAGGTTCATATTCCAGTTCTAATGATACATCATCCCTTTACTACTCTTTTATTCTCTTCTCCTACTCGTCCTTTTTGTCAAACTAACTCTATATTATTGTTAATACCACTGTTACTATCATCATCATAATCATCATCATCATCTAAACGTCACGATTTCTACATAAGAGTGATTGAAAACTAATCAAAACCCAGATTTACTCTACTAACTTGTCCATCTCATTCAGCTTTATTTTACTTTCAGTTCCAGTATTTATTTATTTCAAGCACAGTTACTTCATTAATTACATTCCCTTCAATAGCCGACTTCATACTTGTGAGTTAGACTTCTTATTACATAGTATTATTGCTTACCAATTATGCTATTTACTTTTCGTCAGTTTACAATTCCTTTATTTATGTCTTATTTCAATCCCTTTGTTTTCTAGAACTAGAATAGAGCTGATATCACCAAAAACAGCATCGTCATTTTTCCTAAATACCCAAAAAAAAAAGCACATCCATTTCAACAGAGTCATATTAACACAAAATCCCCAGGTTCAAAATCGTCACAAACATCTTTCCAAGATACCAGATTTGCGAACCATACTCCAATCCACAAACAACATAATTCTTTTTTCCAGTTTAAGCTCCCCAGCCGTAGTAAACCGAATTTAGGAGAAACTCACCTAGATCAAAGCCATCTCCGAAACCTACAAATCAAACTATCAAAATCAGAAATAGAAACAACCCGAAATCCCTTTAAAACCCACATAAAACCACAAAAATACTCGCAGCAAAAAAGGTCGACAGTCAACTTTTCCCCTCTCGCACAAATATCGGAGAATCTCGCTGGCCGGAGACTTCTTTCTCCCCTCGATCAAACCCAAAAATAAAAATGGGGAGAAGGTTAGAAACATGCTCGCACACCAAAAACCCAGAAAATCGAACATGCAAACCCATAATCCGCCACTTACCATCGATCTAGTCACCGCCGCTGACTCCCTCTTCTTCCCTCGTCCGCCATTAAGCCCAGAAAAAAAGTAAAAAGGGTGAGAACCCTCACTCCCCCAATAATCGAAATAAAAAACCAAGGAAAACTTGCATGTCGATATTTACCTAGATCGATTCTCCTTTCATGGTCGATTTGGGGTTTCCGGTCGGAACTGGGTAATCGACGGCGGGTTGGGAAGAAGAGGACCCTCGTTTCTCGTGCTTGTTGTTCTTGTTTCAAAGGAAACGAAAAAAAGAACGAGAGAGGAAGATGAAGGAGAGCCCTGTCTGGAGAGGGTCGCACGAAGAAGGAAAGAAGAGATTGAAAGTCGAATTTTTTGTGGCTCGTCGTGTTTTCTTCCAGAGAAGAAAATAGATCGAGAAAAGGAGAGAGAGGAGTTTTGTTTCTTATTTTGGTTATTCTGTTTCAGAGGAAAGAGGTAAAATGAAAGAAAGAAAGAAAGATCGAGAAGGTGAGCGGCTAGGGTTTTCACGTTCCACCTGATCCTTTAATCTCGTTTTTTTTCAAATTACCCTTTTTGCCCTCTCTATTTCGTTTAAATTAAACCCTCCTGCCATCTTCGTCTTCAAAAATCAAAACAAACAAAAAAATCAACAGCGTCCGTCGAACCCTGGCCTTTGCTCTAACGTTCTGAACCAGGATGTTTAGCCATTAGGCTAACTATATCATATTCGTTTTCTTAAAAGACGTTGCTTATATTTATTATGCTCGACTCATGATCAATAGATTTCAATAGTCGTTTTATGAGAAAACTATTTAAAAGGCATCACTCAATTACCAAAATATATTTCCTAAAATAATTCAAATTAACATTTAAATTAAGATCAATAAAATTTGTTGAGATTACTTCATAAATCTTTTCAAAATATTGAACTAACTAAAAACTCTTTCTCTCCTTTATGATGCACGTCAATAGACGTAAACATCTCAACGAAAATTCTTTTTTTTTACCTCCATAGTCCAATAAGACTTTAAATTGCATAATTAAAACACCCAACCCTTGGAAACTTATCGATTCAGGTAGTACCGATTTAGAGCGTTGTGGGGCGTGAATACACTTCCCCACACGTAACCGTACTCCCGAACCCAAATCGCTATAATTTCGCAGGCCAAATCCCGGTTTTGACCCTATGGTCGAGACCGATCCAATTAGTGTTCGGCCCACTACTTTCTAAGGTCGATGGCGACTCCGAGCAAATTCGCGAGCGATCCCAATTTCGAGGGGCGGTTGCGACATATGTTAAAACGTTTTTTATTTGGGAACTTAAAAACAGTCGTTACTCCTATGGCTTCTACCATTAAGCTGGATAAGGATGAATCAGGTAAGCCAATAGACGAGAAATTTTATAGAGGAATGATTGGGTCATTAATGTATCTTACTGCTAGTAGACCCGATATCCAATTTAGTGTGTGTCTTTGTGCTAGATTCCAAAGTGCTCCTAAGGAAAGTCATCTGACTGCTGTTAAGAGAATCTTAGCTGGTACAATGGATCTAGGTCTATGGTATGATTGTAAGTCAAGTCTTGATTTGATTGGATATAGTGACTCAGATTATGATGGGTGCATAGTTGATCGTAAGAGTACTTCCGGGACGTGTCAATTTCTAGGAAATTCTCTTGTGTCTTGGTTTAATAAAAAACAAAGCTTTGTTGCTCTATCCACCGCCGAGGCTGAATACGTGGCAGCTGGCCTATGTTGTACTCAACTTCTTTGGATGAAGCATCAACTTTGTGACTACAGGTTAGAAATAAAATCCATGCCTGTATTGTGTGACAATAGGAGTGCCATTAATATGGCTAAAAATCCCGTTCAACATTCTCGTACTAAACACATAGAAATTAGGTATAATTTCATTCGAGAATTGGTTAAAGAATGCCAAATTCAGCTTGAGTTTGTGCCTACAACTGATCAATGGGCTGATATTTTCACTAAACCTCTAAGTGCTGACCAGTTTCTGACCATTCGTCGAGAACTTGGACTTCTACTTTCTAGTGAGCTTAAAGATTTAGGTTATAATTAGCTTGTGCTGTTGAGGCTCAAATTAATTTTCCTAAGTTCTAAAAATATCATCAAATTCCCTAGCATTTGTTGCAAATGTTGAGCCAACATCTTTAATTTAATTTTCCTAAGTTTAGAGCCGCTCATCAGGCTTTGTGAGCCGATTCCCTTGTGTTAATTTCGTTCATGTAATTCAAGGAAGGTAAAAGCTTGCCTTTCCTTCTTCCTCTGGTGTAGAGCTGCATCCTAAAATCCCTAACATCTCAAGCTCTATCAATTCTTTGCAAAGATTCCCTTTCAAATCTTCCCTAAAGGAAGCTCGAATCTCATGACGGGGGATGCGATAGAATCCAATCTTCTTCTATTTAATGGGTCCTTTATTTGGGTTGATACGAACTGCCCCATCTCCATTTTTTCCCATTTCAGCTCG